TTGAAAGATCCAAATACGTGTGTTGTTCGGTTCTCAAGATGTGTTAGATCTTGTCACCGATGGCTATGCTTCGTTAGCAGCAGACGCGATGGAGGCACAAAAGACAACATAGAAGGCGATAAGGAAGAAAGATCATAAAGCATTGTTCTACATCCATCAGTGCGAGGATGCGAATGTGTTTGAGAAGATTGCTGACTCTGAAACTGCAAAGGTTGCGTGAGACAAACTAGTCAGATGTTACGGTGATGAGACATCAGTGAAGAAGGTGAAGCTTTAGTCCCTAATAAAGCAATATAAGAATGTCAACATGAAGGACAACAAGAAGGTTTTTGAGTACATCTCTAGAGTGATTCTGATCATTAATAAGATGAAAGCTTGTGGAGAAACCATTTTTGAACAAGTAAACATAGAGAAGGTATTGAGATCTTTAACTTCTCAATTTGATTATATTGTGGTAGCAATTGAACATTCCAAAAATTTGAGCACCATGAGAGTTGAAGAGCTGCAAAGTAGTCTAGAGGCGCATGAGTTGCGTATGACTGAGAGAACTTCTGAGAGGGAAGTAGAGCAGTAGGCTCTGAAAGCAACTCCTGATAAGAAGTATTAGAAGTAGACTTGGTCAAAAGCCAGAAAGAAAACTAATGATAGTTAGAGGTCAGAAGCTTCAACCTCTGATAGGTAGAAGAATGTCCAAAAGGGAATGGAGAAGTATGACAAGAAGAATTTTCAGTGTTACTGTTGCAAGAACTTTGGTCACAATGCCAAAGATTGTTTGTCAAACAAATAAAGGAAGTCATAAGAAGCAAATATAGCTAGAGAAGAGTCTAATGATGAACCTGTGCTATTGTAGGCTTCTGAATATGATGATATGAATTCATCAGAATGGTGGTATATGGACACGGTGTGTTTAAACCATCTTACTGGAAACAAGAAATGATTGGTTGATTTTGACTTTGGAAAGAGTACAAAGATCATATGTTCTGATGATAAATACCTCAATGTAGAAGGTATGGGAAATGTCAGTCATTCTAAACAATGGGAAAGCAACAGTAATCCAGAATATGTGGTATGTACCTGGCATAAAAGTAATCCGATGAGTGTGGGACAAGTGATTGACAAAGGTTTTTCAGTTACCATGAAGGACAATCTTCTGAAATTGTATGACTGTAATCAGAAGCTGATTATAGTTCAAAACAGGGAAGGAACAGAATATTCAAGGTGAATGTTATAACTACAGACTCTGAATGTCTTAGTGCAACAAGTGTTGTCAAGGAGAGTGAGTTGTGGCACATAAGATTTGGTCATCTGAATTTCAGAAGCTTAGGGCATCTGAACTCGAAGAAGATGGTACATGGAATTCTTACAATCAAGAAGCCTGAGAAGTCATGCAAGGTGTGCATGGAATGGAAGCAACCAAGATTTCCATTTGCGTCAAAAGTAGTTCCAAGAGCAAAGTATGCCTTGAGAGTAGTGCATTCTGATATGTGTGGTCCATTTCCAGTAGCATCAATTGAAGGGAATAAATACTTTGTGTTATTTGTTGATGAGTTCACCAGAATTTCATGGGTATCTCTCATAAAGTTCAAACACGAGGTGTTTGCTGAGTTCAAGAAGTTCATACGGAAGGTTGAGAATCAGATTGGCCAGACTCTGAAGATTATTATATTTGATAGTGGTGGTGAGTATAACTCCACAGAATTCAGAAGGTTCTGTGAGGAGAATAGAATTGAGCATAAGCTTATTGCTCCATATACTCCTCAACAAAATGGTCTTGTTGAAATAATAAACCGTACTTTGCTTGATATGGTGAGAAACATGCTGAAAGAAAAGAAGCTTCCTCATACTTTGTGGGGAGAAGCTATTGCCACTGCATGTTATGTGCTCAACAAATTTCCAACGAAGAAGTTGAAGAAAATAGTTCCTATTCAGAAGTGGACTGGAGAAAAGCAAAGCGTTAGTCATCTGAAGGTGTTTGGTTTTGTATGTTACAAACATATCCTAGAAGCTAGAAGCCAGAAGACAAAAGCTGGATGATAGAAGTAAAGTAATGTTACTGTTGGGGTACCACAGTACAGGTTCGTACAAACTTTATTGTCCAGAAAGTAACAAAGTTGAGTTCAGCAAAGATGTCATTGTAAAAGAATCAAAAACCTGAAATTGGGAAAAGTCTCGTTCTGACTCTGATGAAAGAACTTCTGAAGAAAAGTCAGAAACACATGTTTATGAAGTTGGTAAAGATTTTGACTCTGAAGACGAGTCTGATGGTGACTCTAACTCTGAAGAAGATTCAAAAGATGCAGATGATTCTGACTCTGACTCCGATGGTGATTCAGACTCTGGAAATTTTCCATACTCTGAAGACAGTCACGGTTCTGGAGAAAGTCCAATTTCTGAAGCAAGAGCTTCTGAAGGGGAAAGTTCTGGTGTTCGAGGTTTTGAAGTTCAAGTTTAGAGGCAACAAAGAGTCAGAAGCATCCCAAGAAGATTTGAATAGTTTGACATGCTGCAAGATATTGAAGTAGACTTTAAAGAAGAAGTTATTCAATGTGCAATGTTAGTAGACTCTGAATCCGTGAGTACGAAAGAGGTTCTTAAGCAGCAAGTCTAGTTGCAGGCCATGAAAAAAGAAATTGTGCTATAGAGAAAAATAAGACTTGGAAGCTTATAGAACTTCCAAAAGTCAAGAAAGTCATCAACATCATATGGGTTTTCAAGCAGAAGCTAAAGTCAGATGAATCAATTGGCAGACACAAAGAAAGATTAGTAGCGAGAGATTTTCTATAGAAGCTTGGACTGGATTACTCTGAAGTGTTTTCACCTGTAGCGAGACATGAAACAATCAGACTAGTGATTGTAATAGCTGCTAACAAGAATTGACTTCTGATGTATTTAGATGTAAAATCTTCATTTTTAAACGATCCATTACAAGAAGAGGTATACGTGTCACAACCTCTTGAATTTAAGAAAAGGAATCAGAAAGGAATGGTGTTCAGATTACACAAAGCCTTATATAGATTGAAGCAAGTGCCCAGATCCTGAAATCTGAAGATTGATTTATTTTTCAAGGTACAGGGGTTTCAGAAGTGTGAGATGGAGTATGGTGTTTATGTTCAGCACACTTTAGAAGACAATATGATTCTGATATATTTGTATGTTGATGACATATTGCTAACATGAAGTTCTGAGCAAGAGATAGCTAAGTTCAAGAAGGTTCTGATGAATGAGTTTGAGATGACAGATCTTGGAAAAATAAGTTACTTTTTAAGGATGGAGTTTATGTATTCTGAGAAAAGAATCATTTTACATCAGATGAAGTATGAACTTGAGCTTCTGAAGAGATTTAAGCTAGAGAATTGCAAAACTGTTATCACACCTGCTGATACGAATTAGAAGTTGAACTGTAACTCTGATGGAGAGGATATGGATGCTGCAACCTTCAAACAGTTGGTTGATTCTCTTAGGTATCTGTGTATAATATCATACCTGATATTTGTTATGCAGTAGAAATGGTTAGCAGATTTATGAGTAAACCAAAGTGGTCTCATTATCAAACTGCTGTCAGGATTCTGAGATATGTGAAGGAAACTCTGAATTATAGAGTGTTATTTTCTTCTAAAAGAAAGATTGAATCAGAACTTCTGAGTTATTAGTGTGGAGACAGAGTTGACAGGAGAAGTACTTCTGGATACTTATTCAAATTTCTGGGAGGTCCTATTTCTTAGTGCTCCAAGAAAACAACATATTGTTGCGCTGTCAATATGTGAAACTGAATATATTGAAGGCATCCTGACTGCATGCCAAGTTGTGTGGATTCTGAACTTGTTGCGGGATCTGAAGATCGAAGTAAACAAATATCTGAAATTGATGATTGATAACAAGTCTACAATCAATTTTATCAAAAACTCAGTGCTGCATGGGAGAAGCAAGCATAATGAGACCAAATATCACTTTCTGAGTTATCAGATTCAGAATGGAATATTAAAAATTGTGCACTGTAGCACCCAGAAACAGCTGACAGACGTTTTAACAAAGACTATCAAATCAATTTCTTCGTTTGAAAGATGAAATTGATATTGTCAGTTGTGTAAATAAAATTAAGGGATGATATCAAAAATAATTTATATTTTAAAAATGTCTTGTTGACTAATTCTGCTAGAGAGTATTTTAATATTTTATTATACCGTAATATTGTGTATAAATAACTTAATAATAGGATCAATGTATGCATTACTCCTTATTTTATAGTGGTCATTTAATTATTCCTAGTGGTCATTTAATTATTTTTTTTGTCTTTCATATCTCTGTGTTTTGTGCACCAACAATATTTCCGGTACTAGCATAAGGAAAGAAACGCCTAGTATCAACCAAATGAAGAACAGGAAGGTAGGAATCGAGTATAATCCTCCAAGCATCACCACTTTATTTAACAGCTTCCTTCTGAAGAATGACCTCCAATGCTAACTCACCATTAGAAGATTTAGACAGGTTACGGACCCATGTTCGTGCCAGGATTAACCCAAATTATATTCTTATGAGATGCTGTTGACTCTAGAAAAATAAATTGAATTCATTAGACGTTTTTCATAAAACGAATGATGGGGACTTAAGGTTAAAATATCTGAATTCCTTTAACTTAGCCCTATTAAGAAAATGGAAATGAAGTGTGAGAAGCATGGTAAATCATAGGATAGAATTAAGATGATAGATTCTAATTCTTTCTACTGCTTTAGAACATCTAGTATGTTGGAAGTCTGAGAATGGGTGCTTTTGGTATTCACTTTACCAAATCATTTCTTAAAACCAAGTCATTAAGTTTTATTATAGTTGAAGAGACTTGCATACATTCAAGTTCACCCATAAAATCCATAGACCCAAACTATAAAACACAACTATAATCAAACCACACCTATTTGTTATTTAAACAACACCAACCAAACTAAAACAAAACAAGAGACACTCCAACTTCAAAAGTTTCAAATACCTATAAAAACCCAAATCGTTCAAAAACCATGAATCTTGATCTGATCCTTCCTCACAAGTCCAACCTGAACCAAAAACTGCGAAACTTTCTTCCTCTGATCACCTTGAAGTTGGATAACTTTACCAAGCTCTTTATCCTGCACAACATTCCCGTTGCAACAGAACTCTTTCTTAAGATCCTTCAGAATCTTCTCGTAGCTGAACTCCTTCTTCAGTCCTTGAACCGTTGTTAAACTCTTTTTTCCATTCCTTTGTTGAATTCGTATATGAACATACTCTTTTGCTCCTGGAGCGTCCGATTCTATCGCTTCAGAAAATGGATCATATGGAGTTCGGACCTCGATTTCCAACGCAACCATGTACTTTACTTGAGGGAAACTTTACAACAGAAGGCTCTCAGAGAATTTGGAAATTTTGAATGAGAAATTGTAATTGTGAGGAAAGAAGAGAAGGTTTGGGGTTTATATAGCGTGAAGCTGAGGCGGTGCTTTGAGCACTAGTTTATGAACGGCTGAGATGAGGTTGAGATAGACACGTGGAAGGTGATTAGAGAGGGTATGGTAATTTAATTAAGCGTGTTGGGTGGAAAGATAGAAAGCATCGTGTTCTATTCTAGTTGTGGATTATTTTTTTCTTTTGAAAAAAGTTTTAAATTAGTGGATGAAAAGAAGGTGCGTGAACTGTACGCTGACGGTGAAAGATAAACGTGAAAGCTGTTTTGTTAAGCAACCTGTTGATTTTGATAGTTGGATGCGTCATCCAAACAATACTAAGGGTGTTTTTGGCAAACACAATAATTTGATGGCTTAAAAGAATTTTTGGTAATTTTAGTATAAAAATAAAGTTTAAATTCTTTTACTTTAAAAAAATAGAAAAATTAAATAAAATATAGAAAATTATTTTTTAATATGAAGATCACAATTTAATATTTTTTAAATAGAAGATTAAAATTTTACTAAAGTCTAAATTAATTTATAATCTTAATAATAATAATAATAATATTATTATTATTATTATTATTATTATTATTTATTATCATATAAAAACACTCAATTTTAATTATTATAAAAATGAAGATCTATTTTTACTCTAGAAAATTTTCAAAATTTAATGCAATCGTTGAAAAACATTAAAAAAAACTCTTAACTTTTTTAAAAAATAACTCAAGACAATTTAATTATAATTTATTTATATTTTAATTTTGTTGATGAACGTAAAATAAGAAAGATACGGAAGAGAATAGAAATAAAAATAATAATAGTTTAGTTTAATAAGAAAAAATTAAATAAAGTATATGAAGAAATAATTGTATATTTATAACATTACATAAATGTCTTTAAATAAAATTTTAATATAATCAAATTATTTTTAAAATTAAATAATAGTTTTGTCCCATTCATGAATGAGAAATGAGTTGACAAGTATTGGTTACGGAGGATTAAAGCTTCACATGCGGTAGAGTAGAGGGACCTATAAAATTATCACTTTGATCAAGTTAGTATGTCAGGGAGAAGAGTAAAGTGAAATTGAGTTTGAAATTTGTTACTTTTGTTTGACGTCTTCTATATACGTAGAGATGGAAATAACAAACTCAATATTTGTTAGGAGTGAGTTGTAGAGAGTCGCTGGATGTACTTGTTATTGAGACTCTTTATGATGATTAGGATGACAATTCTTGTGTGCTAAGAAGTTTCTGGAAAGAATGTAGTCCCTTCGTAGTGGTCGGTCGAGGTTGATATGCCGACCCTGAACAATTTCCCTCTAAAACCCTTGTTAGTATGCAACAAGGCAGGGGTTTTATCATGTCAGTCTCGGTTATCGACCACTCCGTCAATCACCTTCGGACGGGCATTAGAGAAGTGTTCCAGTTTCTTGAGTATTTGTGCATTTAATGCCCCATGCTTTAAAATGTCTTTTCGGGAGTATCATCATTACAACTCTCGGTAATTGAAACTCTTGAGTACTTCGTACGACTGATTTGACACATTTAATTGAGTCTTTTTACATGATAGTTGTTGAGGAGTCAATGCTACTTTCTTTGAGTCATTTCTCAACTTAGCAACTACCTTTGTCTTTGGCATTTTACTCCCCTGTATACGAAAAGTTAGCTCATTATGGGCAAGAAATCATAGAAAATTACTCACAAGTCTCAGAAGAATACTCCTTCTTCTTGGGTGGATTATGTCTACTCTTCCACAGTTTCTGCTTTTGCTTAAGAGGACGATCTTGATAATGCCTTTATCAAAGTTGGTCCACATTCATATTAGAGAATCTTGAGTCTGCCGATGATGAATGAATATGCGACAAGTGTGTCGATTGCATCATTCTCTTCTATGAATATACTTTCTCCGTCATAGATCTTCGTGTTCCTTTTACTGCCTTAGAGATAAAAGTTCTAAAGCTCATGAGAATGGCTCCTTCATAACTTCACCCCGCAAGCTTGGCGTACATGAATGTAAATCAATATTGGTGTGAATTCCTAAAAGAGAATCCTTTCGTGACTCTTTTCTACCACCTCTTTAAATGTTGTCATGGCCAAACAACTCGGGTGAGAGCCAGAGGATTAATATATCTAAAGCCGACTATTCATAACTTCGAGCCTCTTTCTGACAAACAACATTTTGAGGGTTGGTTCTTTTTTTCCCCACCTCATCGGCCCCGAAGCTCATGCTACGGTTTACACCGTTGGAGGTGGAATAAAGGACATATATGATGAATTGTTCCCTAAGTACTGGATTGAGGGTCATTTTCTTATGGGAAATGATTTCTATGTATATAGGGAGGAGGATCTCATCGTCGAAGCTTTGTATCAAAAGAAACAGCTGATGTGCTTCATCAACGATCTCAGATAATTTGGAGAAGTTACCCCCATGGAGGAAGTTGACAAGAAACGCTTGAAGTGCCTTATTGACGTCCAGTTGCTGATAGAGGCCCGTTCCTGGGAAGATAGAAAACCCATATTTGGTAAGCTCTGGAACCTTTAAGCTCTTTTGTTTCTAATCCACCAGTTCGTGACACATTTTCTTTATTAATCATTGTGTGAAGATCATATGAATGATGAAGTACAACTCTGACTTATAAGGCGGGGCATACAGTTGATTAAGAATGATGCAGTTTTGAAGACCCTACCAACTTTCCTGAGTATCTCGGGTCTGATTTCCCACTCACTACTGGAGGGGTTTAACTCTAATTCAGTTGAAGGTCTTTGATCCCCTCCTCTGGATGAAGGTTGTCTTATTTGGCTAATTTGTTTGGCTTGTTCTGGAGGAAGAGCTAGTTACTCTGGCTCGGTACATCTAGTGTGATTCCTCTACTTTGGCGCTTGGTGAACTGGTCATTAGGAAGCTCTTTGTTTCGACCATAATTGTGTTGAGAAGCAACGGTTGGAGGGGGTGCTTACAATCTAAAGTTTCAGCGGGATAAATACCAGCAGGAAATAAAGAATGCTTCTACTTCTCTTACTGCGGTGATGAGTGTTTTGTTTCCCCTAAATCTTGATGGTTCTCTCTTTGACCGGGTGATTCATCTAGTGAAGAACACTACTACAAAATGCACATACAACAATACCAAAGTCACCACGGTTCTTCTAAACACCGTGGTGACATCTCTAAATTCAGGCGCAAACATTTTTTATATTTTTAATTAATAATTGCTAGGATATAATAATGATTATTTAACTGACCGTGGTGATATATTCAAGCTTTCATGGGTTCGAACCTCATCTAGCTCAAGTATTTTATTCCTTTAACGTTAAGGCGCACCTTTTTTTTTTTTAAATAAAAAATAAAAGGAATAGCTCAACGGTTGGTTAGTTCAACCGTTGTGACATATTTTGTTTTTTATTTAAAAATTTTAAATGGCTAAACGCTGGCGCTTCTTTATGAAATTTCATTATGCAAATAACATATCATTACGGTTTAAAGTTTGGACTATGGTTGTATCTTTTTAAATAGTATACACCTCTTGCTAGCTTGTCTCTTTAGTTTCCATATTTCTACTAAAAAAAGAAATAAGACAATTCAACCCTAACCTTCAATACTGTGAAACGATACACAATTTCAACCCTAACACCATCGTTCAATGTTGTTTATCGTTCATTTCTCGTTTAATACTTTGATACTGTCACTCTTTACTGGTCATTTTCATCGAGGAGGTTGACAACACAAACACGATTATCATCGTCGAGAAGGTTGACAACTCGAACACCTTCATGACCGCCAGGAAGGAAGACAACACCAACACCATCGTCATCGCCGAGAAGGAAGACAACAACAACACCAACACCACACCAATATAGTATTCTCCTTTACTTAGTCATCATGTTTACAGTACGTACAACTTTTCCCCCATGCATCTACAATAGACTTCATTTGCCATTGTTGTGAATGTTGTTGATGTTGTTGATGAAAGATCTTCTTCTTGTTGTTGTTGTTTATGTTCTTGATGTTGTTGTTGTTTTTGTTGTTGTTGTTGTTATTAATGTTGTTGTTGTTATTGTTTGTGAACATAGATGTCGACATTGTTGAATTCTCCATCTACTAGCAAAGAAACTGATCATAGAAATTATTCTTGTACAAATGATACTCAAACAAAAAGATCACAAAGAGGTGTCACAATGATGCCCGAATTCACAAAAGTCCACAACTCAAGTGACAAAAATTAGATCACATTTGATTCGTTCTACAAAGTAGTTAATTGTGAACATCACTCTACTTTTAAGAGTTATATTACGTTACTTGCACGGAGCAAAGTCACCATATTGATGGATGATTGGAAACAAGTGCCAAGTGTTATAAAAGAAAGTATACGGACAAACGTTATGGTAATAGTTTTAATTTTCATATATTCGATTTCACTTTCTAGGTAGCTTCTAATACTTACTTATTAATTTAAATGTAGTTGAAATTTGATTTTACAATGACTCAAAGTTGAAAAAAATGTGGATCACTTATGTCGGTACTTGTTGGAGGGGCTTTAAGTCACGACTCACACAAGATTACATTAGGAAGCCTAAGCCCAATCTTGCTCATCCATGGATAAGATATAGTTATATATCGAAGAAGCAATGGAGAAAGTTTGCGAAGAACCGTCGTTCTGAGGAATTCAAGGTTAGTAGTAGTCATATTTATCCGATAATTTTATGCTAATGAGTTATAGATACTAATTATATATATTTTTCAATATTTGAATAACAGGCTAAAAGCGAAATAAGACAACAAAACAAGGCAAAAAACATGTTCCCCTGTAAATTGTCTTGTGGGGGTTACCGGAAACTTGAGAAGACAATCATGCTTGAAAAAAAACAAGAAATGAGAGATGATCGCATCCCATCTCTACCTTCATGACATGAGAAGTGGAA